TTTTAAGTCTAACGTGTACGTGTCGGTCATTGTAATGTACTGTTTTCACCATTGTGATACGCCATATATATATATATATATATATATATATATGTACATAGTTTGTATAATTTGAAAAAAATGAAGTAATAAAAAGACGTCCTAGAATTGATGGCTTTCATTATGTTCACCAAGTAACATTTTGACCTCTGTTATGTTATGGCTGGTAGTAATAATAATGCACCTTATCAGAGCCAGTTTGCGACCGTAATGGCGTCGCTTTTTTTTTCGTTACTATAACTCAAATATTGAACAATGCGGGTTCTCGATCACCTGCTACGTGTAAATCAGCAATGCTCTGGGTGAGATCAAAATTGGTACAATCAATTCTTTGTTGAACTTGCAGAATGATAGATAGTCAATAAAGAACTTATTCTTCCTTACAAAGAATCAAAACGTAGATCAATTTGAAGAAGCCATCTGAGACGACGGCCTAGCCGCTAACGTTCAGTCATTTCTGTTTGTTGCGAGGGTTTTGCCAAGTTACAATTCATAGCAAAATCAACCGATCTCAAAATCACATCGATGTTAGGTGATAAACAAAAAAAGAAAAAAAAAAATAAGATTTATTACCCTACGAAGCTTCACGCTCTATTTATGGGTAAATTAGATGCATGTCCTGCACGTGCATTGCACCTCATACCCTGCTTCCTAGTACTACAATAATCCTGCGTAACAGATTTACGAACCTGAAATTTTTGTAATTCTCAAAGTGGAAGGTGACAGTAAATTTGAAACTTGGTCGCCCACAATTCAGACGGAATTAATCAACACTGAGACCAGAAGGAAGAGCTTTAGTTCCCCGGAGAGTACAATATTTCTGTCGTTCATTTTCAGCTGACCTAGCCTAAGGCCATCTGGAAATGAGAGAAGACTCTGTTTTATAAAATAGATAAATAAAAAGGAAGCAGATTACTTACTCTGTTAGGTAGTCTGTGCGGATGTTATGTATTGAAATACGTGGCCAGACGATGGGTGTTTTCGAAAAATTAATAGAAAACAGCATTTTCCATCAAAACCACTTTTCATTTGACAACCCGTACGGTGAGGCACAACCCGTGTAAATAGCTTCACATTACCATATTGCATCGTATATAAAATGCAAATAAATATCTTCAAGAGCTGATTAAATTATTTTCGAAATTAAAATTTTATTAAAATTCGCAAATACTTGTAATTTGCAAGCCAATGTACTTATTCTGATGAGCATACGTGAGTGCTGCTAATAAGAGTTAAAAAAAACAAGCGTATAAAGGTCACCTGAGACACGAGGCAGTAGCTTTCCAATATCGTTAGCGCAGATGACCTATAATTAACAAAAGGTCAATTTGCACCTGTTTCATTTATGTTATACTCCTTTTATACAAGTCCACGATATGTATCTATATCTAGTCGATCGGTCATAAGTCTCACAGGATTTCATCTGTTTAACAATTCTGTTTTGAAATAGGTATGGTAGTACAGTCCTTTGGAACAGGAAACGGATACAAGAATATACAAAATTAACAGATGTGGCCGGAGCTGGTCTCTGCTGAGTGGTCTTTGTAATTTGAGGAAATAGGCCGAAACGTTTACTACTTAACGTTAGAAAACTAGTCTCATAAGAGCGTTCCTATTTTTGTCCTAGCTTTCATACCAGATAATCAAATGTTCGCTCCCTGTAATTGAACATTCCTTCCATTTTATGGTACCAGTTAACCCAATATGGATATAATCTATATGCCATTGTCGGTGGAAACACAGGAGATATATTTGCTTGAGCGGTACGTCTAGAGACCCGATACATGACTAGCTTTCTAGAGGACCAGATTTTTCGCTTCGCCTACTACATATCCGTATCCGGTCGAATTGGCCTTTAATTCTAGTAAGAGTAATTTCAAAATGTTCACACAGCACAGCGGTCCATATCTATCATTGATCTATTGGACTATGTCCTGTCAGCTTGCTTAGTGCTTGCTCAAACGCTACGTTTCGTACGTATCATAAGTGACCTAGAAATGGTTTCCAATAAATAGATCTGTCGGATAGTTTTTTTTTTTTTTTTTGTTCCTTATTTGCTTTTCGTACGATCGTTTCGAGGGGGTCGCCAGATCGATGTCACGAAATACCGACTTCTACTGTTTACGGTAGATGTCGGTGGTTATATATGTGACACTGACCCGGACTACTACAACGAAGGAGCATCAAGTTCACAGTAGATAATGGAGGGCTATCGATAGAGTTAATCACTTCATCAATATTCACGACCTTACCGGTTTATACAGTTGGCGTGCATCTAGCAATACAGATACAGTAAGATATATGAAATGTCCAACAATAAGCAGCAAAGGCGACTTCTGAGAGGCAAATAGATATAGAACAATGTCGAATAGAGTATTGAGCGAAATAGACCGATTGTTATTATTAGTACGATCTATAAGTACGCAAGGGATATCGATAAAAAAGATCACTTTACTAGGCAGAAGCGATCAAGGTGGGTAGAACTACCATGAGGGGAATAAGGGCAAAGTTTTGATTGTCAATGAAGGCAAATCAATCATGCTTAACTATGTTTTCAGCGGGGATATAATTATTGATGTCCTACCTTATAAAGAAAAGGCGCGAGACAAAGATATCAGCCTGTGTGAATATAAAGAACTGACCGAAATAGGCATTGGTCTAATAATAACTTCAATAAAATATAGTACATCAAACAATAGATAGACATATTGCTTTATTCTAGTTATCAGTATCATGTACATGAACTAGAACAAACCTGGTTTACCCGTATATTATCGAGTATACAGATATTTTTTACAAGCAGTGTCGTTGTTTACGTTGTTGACGACTCCTAATTAGAAACCGGAAATGCTGAGAGCTAATCACTACTCATGGGGTTTGGTTTAAGTCTTAGGCTGTACAGAGATTCTGGAACTCCGCTGAAAAAACGCCCCCTATGGGACTAAGTTTACTGAAAGTCAACGGGAACTATTTATTATATTTTAACTATAACGCTTTCCATAGCAGATACTATAAGGCATTTTTTCTTTTTCATATAAATTTCTATTGCCTTATAGTATCAGTGAGAAAATGTTCGCGTGCATATCACTGTATTAAGACATGGCCGTAACGAAAGCGTAGTTACCAACCAAAATAGTTAAATGTGCATGTTGTGCAGAGCTAATCCTAACTCGCCAAACGTCAGCTATTAGTTCCCCTCTTAGTCGCTCCTTACCACAAGAGGCCGACATAAAGTTTCTCTCCTTTTTCACTTGAGCGATACGTACAGTTCAGGGCTTTTTAGGCCACCTAAATTTCCCTTTTTCCATTATGTATGCTACGCTAAACGACAGGTGGCTTGATTGTGGTTCCCCTAGTGCAAGCGATCGAATCTAACACCTGGTAGTCAGTCGACTTTCATTGTTTTTTTCGCCGTTCGACCCGTGCCGAATGTATGTCTTTCGACCCCTCGAACCTAGGAACAGCAACGGCTTATGCTTCAATACTACCATCTAGCACCAGTAAGCATCCTACAATAGTCAAAGGCACATAAAACGCATATCTCAGCTCTGATACGCTTTAACAAAACAAAAGATCGACGTCAAGTGTCTTTTGAGCGCTGCGTGAGAGCGCGTCACATAGATGAAATATTTACCGGTTTAATCACGCTTCCCGTGTCGTATAATATATCGTTAGCGAGGCCTAAACCTTCGGCCCTTGGCCTGAACCCTCCAAGTGAAGGTTTAACTGCCTAAAACACACTGTGCATGCAAGCTGGCCGCTGAAGCACTACCATTTCATTTAGTTGCCGAAGCCGCTACAGATCGATACAGCTATCGGCTGTAACCATCAATCTAGTTACTACGTTAATACATTAGCCGTTCTGATGATGGTGTTTGCTCGTTTTCCGATCCCGACTGTGCTTCCATAAGTGTGTATCTTGCCGGACGAGTTTCCTTACTCAAACAAAGAAATAGGTACGCCGATCATTGAATCGACAGCTTTCTATCCATTACCTACTATTCCTTATCGACACTCCCGTGATCTTGTCGCCGCTGCGACTGCTGTTGTCTATCGGTATGGTTTTCGGTCCGCTTCGCGCATCAGTCTACAGACAGGCCAGTCTCTTCCACTAATCGATGTTTTATTTTGCTTCGTTTTACACTCGAAACATTTGCGCTACGCACACATAGAAGAAGATTCAGCAGTGCATGGCCAAACTGCCGATCGTAGGACTGACGCACACAAAGCACAGCGAGGAGATCAGCAACGAGGAACAGATGTTTTTTGTGTGGGGGCCTGAAATGTGACGGTAGCGCGAAAAATAAAAAACAACAACCAGCGAGAACACCCACCTCTCTCTTTATGATAAAACAACGACAACGACGAGGACGAGGACGAGGACGCGATCTAAGACATTACTTTGGATCTTGTTTCCTTTTGCTCATTTGGTTGTATACTTCGTCGGTGAACTGCAACCAGTCAGTGCAGGCTAGTAAACACTGAAGTTGTACGACGAAACAAGTGAAGGAAGGGTGCTTCAAGTTCGACTCCGTAGGTGAAACGTGCACTTTTCTTATGCTTAACTCGGACGGTGCTTCTTGCCTTTGTTTTGCCTTATCTCTAAGGATATCCTCTACAATGATACCGCGAAATATCTACATTTCATATCTAGGATTGCATTTTTAATATATTACTTCATGTCGAAACGTTGTTTTGCCCCAACTCACGTGCTTAGACCCTTTTTCGTCGACCGACCGATGCTAAGTGATTACGAATGGACGCATTCATTTTCTGCCGACGAACGTTCTGCTTCAAAACATATAAAGCATTATATCGGGCTTGAAGCGTCCATCCGTTGGCCACTGTCACTATACACTACAATAAGTTATATCCTGCCAAATGAAGAAGATACTTTTCGCTCTTTGTAGAGAAATATATAGAGCTGCATTGAATTGAACCAGGCATGTATATATTAACAGGCGACACCTTTCGAAAATGAATCTACGAAGGGATTGATTTTGCTGGTAGAGTCTCTTGCAGAGAACATCAGGGTTCTCTTTTTTTCAGTGGCAATTACTTTTGTTGTTAGAGGCTATTACAGCAGATCTCTGTCTTGACAGTTCATGGTAATGGCAACAATTAATGCACCTGTTGAATCCAGAAGAGTAGAGGAACTTTCACTTTGAAGGGTTCCACCTTCGTGGTGTTCTACGCCCAGTGCTTGAGTCATTCCGAGACATCTCGCATCCTAATTTGACAAGCAAACCCGTTACTACGCTATCTTTGAGGGTCTATAGAACACACTAATAGAACCTAGTCTATGTAAAACGAAATGTACATTATCAGTCCGTATAGAAAGTTTGTCCAAAGAGATTTTAGTAAAAGGTTCAAGTTAACTCTACAAATCTCTCAAAAGTTAACTCAACGGCGAAAAATATCCCATGCTAAATCGAGACACTGACACCAAGTGTTGCAGCTTCTAAATATCGAAGTATTTACGTACTGTTTCCGAGTCTTTGGTTATCAGTTGCAACATAGTCTATTCCGTCAAATATTCGATAAACTGGCGCTACCCCTAAATCAATTTACCGAATGATAAAGAGCAAAGAGATGATTGCCATACTAACTTAAAGTTGTAGGCATTGCTGTCGGCCATATATTTATCTACCTACTTACGGCAACGTCAAATTAGGACTTTGAGTATACGGCCTTCCTGAGTACGAATCATTTATATGGTAATAAATACTTACAGCGCACTAATGAAGGATAAATGAGCGTTGGAAGCGGCGAACACGAACGCGGGATCCGGCCCTCCTTCTCTAAGGATGGAGGCTGATGAGTGGAGTTTTTTTTAACTGACTTTCTTTACCCAGGGGCCATTCGGTATTATGCTAGCAGTTACTGTTGTTTTGTCATCGGTAAAGAGAGTCCAGTGTGACAGAATGGCGTACCAATAGGGTCAGCAGCTGGCCGTCGCGCCTCTATGAGCAATAAATTGTAAACCGCTATGTATCGTGAACGATATGTAGTTACTAAGGATTTTGGATGGAAAAAAGGATTCTGATTGTTTACCAGATCTTTCGCAACGTAACGTACAGCAGTAGCAGATTCGCTGATAATTTATGATAAACACACTGAATGGATTATTGCAATTAGACAAAATAGTCAAACATGTAGGATCGTTTAATAACGGTAGCAATCAGAAGAAATTCGGTAATTACATACAAAAAATTAAACATGCACGACGACACTACATGTGTACATGATGAGCTAAACCTAAAAGGTCCGTAAACGTCGGTCTTTCAGCAGTGAAACAGTATCGTACCGCGTAAGTAAAACGCGATCTGGTTAGTTTGCGTAATTTGTAAAAAAGAAATTGTCTAGCCGATAATACAAGTAGATAGATCGTATGAATGATCAAATATGCATAAAGTCACAAACAGTCTTTGAAGGACCCGTTTCGGACATTAAGTTTTTTGCTCGCGACAGTCTTTAAGTAGGCCGTCTGTGGCAGCGCATGTCTCAATATTGTCGAAAAATACATCATAACAACGCACACACCATCCCGAAAATGCCACAGTTTATTTCGATGTTAAAACTGTGATACGCCGTGCTCGAAGCACGTCGAACTTCATAAGTTCCATGAGGCAACTAGCAAGCTTAAAGAGAAAATTATGCACCGAGGGCTGGCCCACCCGTATCCTAAATGGCTAATTGTTTTTGGAACATTTTTGAGGCATAGGCACTCCCTAGGCAGTGGCCTGAAACTCACTAATTTCCGTTTTTAAAATGAACGTCCCTCTAACGTACTGTTGCTTCGCTGAAAATATTATTTTGGCCTACGATAGATATAACCAGCACGCATCATCGAAAAATAAACTTAATAACTAAACTAAATACTATGTTTACCTCTAAATCCATTATTTTATGATTCTTAATCAGTTCTAATCCATAGATAACCAAACGCTTGGTGCTAACGCTTAGCAAATCCTGTGCACTAATAATGCATAAATCGAAAGTCATTGGAACGTTTCCAGCTAATAAAGCCGCTCCAATGCCGCAATAGAAGCTGAGCTACATACTACTTACATAAAGAGATATTAATGTTGTGTAACGAACTTAATCGTTAGAAATGCGTAAGGTTATTTATAGATGAATTCCTCAAACTCGATGTAATTTCTTTGCCCTTTTGTGCACATTGGCAATATACATCTAAGCGCCACTGCCTCATATGTCGACCTTCGGCTAACAATAGAAGTGTTCAGCTGACGCTTTTCTACCTTTATTGAGAACGATTCCGAGTTTGTTCTACAAAAGCCTTACCTTTGGCAGCTCCCCGTTTGTTCGTAGTGAATTTCGTTCTTTTCCTTCGGTTCACGTCCTTGCATTAGAGCTTAGTTTAGTTCTCAATATCCTACTGTATATTCTATTTAAGGACTGTGTCTTGTTGAAGATCCAGACGGAAAGGAATTTAAGGTATAACAAACATCTAAAGCAGTTTCCTTCCTTTCTACAATCCACACAGACGATACATGCTGTATCGCCACGCACAACCATTAAAAGATTCAATATTTGCTCGTAGAACTGATAGGGACGAACTGTGTTCAACTCTTGTAAAATGACGCTTGAAACAAGACTACGATGCTCGCGTACGGTAGCTTCCTTTTAAAAGCGTGCACCCCTAAATAGTTACCCACGCGAAGAAGATTTTCTTAAACGTTGTCCTGTTTTAATTTTTGAATTCAGATATGGATAATCCTCGCTGTTTTCCCGCTGTGCATACATCAAGTTGAAGTCGATCGGCTAGGCTGACAGGTGGCGACATCATTACAGCGCCACCAACGGGGACGTTGAATCCTAGTTCTATATATTATGATTTCGAGCATGCTGCTCAAATCGTACTGGATCACCTCTATATTCTATCAGTCCGACTAATACAATTATGGCTTTAATAGATGGCGTAGGGTTGAGCTTTACGCGTGGTACGCTTTCAACGGCTTGACACCTATGTGCGCTGTAAGTGTTTAAAAAAACTTCAAGCTTCGAACTGAATCGCGTTTGTTTAATGTACGATATGAACCTAAAAATACTTCGTCCTAGCTCTGCGAAAATCTACTTTTATTTTATATCACCGACGCGAGTCAGCGATGCAGCCAGGGGAAAACGATGTCACGCTTGGCGAACGGAGCACAGTGAGATGTGTTATCCGTTGTATTAAATAATGCGTGTCCTAGACTACATCCTGTGATCCAATTTCCTCTACCAGAGGTGCGTTTGCTTAGACACCCAATTTAATGTACAGTTTCATAATATGAATGAGACCTCCTTCGAACTTACTAGTGTAGCTCAGAAGCTGAAAAATCTTTTACAAGTCAATAATATTTATCCAGAGGACACTGTTCACCTTTATAGCTGACACACTTTCAGATTTAATGTGTTCTTTTCTTACGTCGTGTATATTAAAAGCCAGCCGCATATAGCCAGCAGTATAGAAGTTATAACTAATGCACTCAAATACCACTTAACGCGTTAAATAGTACTCGTGGTTAATGAACTTGACAGCTGTAACAACATACGTCATAAATTGACACTTTATAAATAGGAATTTTATGATATCTGCTGCTGTTGTTTTTGCCTCATGTACACATGCACAGTAGATCAGTAAACGACAGCTGACATAACTGGTTTAGCTTGTTACTTACATTATCGAGTTACCTTTTTCTTCGTCGAAGGTCGTGGGGAGCTGCGGAAAAAGGGGTACGAGAATAAGTGGGATTCTAATGGGAGTCCCAAGAGACAGAAAGACAGGATTACAGTCGGCGTTGAACGGTGGCACACAACTGAGACCGAAGGCAACTCTCAACGGTGGTCTGGGACGATTGATCGAACGTTTAATATACATTTGTAGGGGCAAGCCATCTGCTGTTGTTGCTACGAATCACCTGGACGTTGTTTCCACTATTGTTGCTATTGCGCCTGTTAGGCCTTTGTATGAATGTTTGATTGTTAAGAGCTGTTTGCCACTCGGGCTAATAAAAGAAAACTCTGACACACGGTGATGCTTTACACCGAGAGAAGACGGGGTAACCTGAGCATCTGTTCGATGGCTTCGTTCATAAGAAACTTGAAAAACGCGAACGTACCGCATATATATTGGAGTTTATGAAAATATTGACCCAAAGCAAGCAAGCAAGCAACAACTTAAAAGTTTCCCTGCGGACTAGGAAGGGCATCGTAGGCCTACATGTACGAGAAAAGCGTAAATGTATTAACAGAACTATGCAGCGCCCCATTTTTCTGAGTGAACCAACTCTCGTTAACGTTCGTTTTGGTCGGTGCAGCTTTAATGCTACTGATTATCTTGTCATTCCGTGTGTTTGGGCCACTATTTCGGAGAACAGGGTAGTGATCTGTGGCATAACGTGTTAGTAGCTTTCGAAAACTCGGCTGAATCATATAGTGAATTGTACCTAAAAAACGTTCAGCGGCACGGTCGAAGCGTTCGTCGATATTTAGAGAACGATTTGCAGAAATGCTCAACTTACAGATTTTGTTAACTGCGAGAATAAGGAGGAAAGTATATGATGTCGTACTAACGAAATGTTAAAGCGGCATCTAGAAGCGCTGATATTACCACCGCGCCAAACATTGGAACTGTATTAGGCATTGTATAAACTCGTTTTCTATGAAACTAACGACAAGTTCTACTGTGTCACGGATAAAAAAAATTTATCAAAAAAATTAGTATTCGAGCAACATTCGTCTTTAATAGTTATGATGGGCGTCATTGTTAATTGTAACAAAAACAGTTTAGATAATTGTTCACCTGTGCCAGGCGATTATGTAACATTTCCCTCGTTTGTTCTATTCAGTAACATGTTTAATAGCTCCTACAATATTATATGGAAGTTTAACTTCTCTGATACATAGATAGGGCTAATTCAATCTAAAAGCTGTCGTTATTCAGATAGAACTGTGTCAACTTGCATTCCTTCGCTATATGAGCTAAGCAAAGCATGTTTTAAAATAAGGACGAGATATTTGCCCCGCCCCATGCATCAATATCATTTATTATATTAACACTATAGCTATACATAGAACGGGTGAAATAGTACGCCTTCTTCCTTTACCTGCACAAATATAACCGTTCCAGTAGCAGCTGACGAAGCCGGCCTGAATCATGGCAAGTGTTGAAAAGCGGTTCTGCAAAGTTCAACGTTCACCGGATCACGTCCCTCCCTCCCTTCCTCCCTCACTCCTGCAGCACTGACCGGCAGTGCTTTCGCAAAATAGAAAACCTCACGGCAACACTTACTCAGATGGGAGCAAGCTATGCCGCAATCGTTCTTGTTTCAACAAGCTAAATATATTGATAGACGTCTGCCTGCGTGAGTACGCATTTCTGTCGCGGAGTACGCGCATCTTTCTCGCATAAAAATGGAAGATGGCAAGTAAAGTCATGCAAGCACCTCAAAATACGTCGTTCTAGCTGCAGCACTTTTTGAATACTAGTTAGGGGAGGTAATTGATATATATAATGACAATGACAAGTAGTAAATGCAGACAATGACAGATAACCCGTCACTGACCGACTCCAGTCTTATGTTGATCCATCTAAAATAACATTCGCTGTTATTGAGTGCCAAGCTGAGGACGGCTGGAACTCTTCAGTTGTCCTAATTGTATATTGTGAAGGTAACGTTTATGATAGCTTCGTACCGTTGGTAGAGAATTTGTTTTTGTAGATGCATGAGATAAAAGGGTTCATAGTCATTCATGTATCGAGGTAACAATTCATTAGTCAATCATGTCTACTTTGCTGCTACAAGTAGACCGTCGCAACGTTGATTGTTTACAGTTGGCAGGATCGTTGATACCCTGTCGACATGGCCTACACAGTTTCGACTTCTATAGGTAACAATTGTTCTTAACAAAAGTTCTCGGCTGTTATAGTGTTTACAGCATCTATGGTGTCTTTCATTGTTGTTCCCGAAGGACTGGTTTCTTAGGTATAGAATATGTGGTTCACCAATAACCTCAGCAGAGTACTACGGTTTGATAAAAAGCGTCTATACATATATGACACATACCGAGGCACTGTACGAACAGGTCGATCATGGATAATAGTTTTCTGCTATTTTGCGACCATAAATCATCAGCACCATGGAGCACTCATTGTAGAATAATGGCTCTGAACAGATAGCGGTTAGCTATATACGACTAGCTGCTCATTTATGTATTTCTCTTACGCAAATTTTACTCCGAAAGGTATATAAGGTATATTCTGATATTAGGTTATACCAATGTCCACTAGAGGGTTAAGCCGCCGCAAATTACCTGCTGGTCAGCGGTCTTACTAAGAACTTTTCTTCCATAAACGGATTTTGTAAGCTTAGCCTTCCTGAAATATTCTGTTATTTTTTTATATGCAACAAACCTGATACGTGAGCGCCGTAAGACCAAGTGTAATATAGTGCTTGAGGCAATCGGTATATTATCTAGTTTATTTTCCACCCATCCTTTAGCGAAAGTCGAAGAAGAAGACTAGCGGAGAGTGTTTTCTCCCGTCTGACCGCTCCCCGATAATTCAATCAAATGAAATCGTATATTCATGGCTTTTGTACTGAATCTATTCAGGCCAAAATCGCTCTCATGCTGAGACTACGAGCAACATACACAACCCTTTCAAGTGGCCTTGGATATACACATATATATATATATATATATATATATATATATATATATATTAGGAGTTAATCAAGCAATTTTCGCTAACGACATAAAAGAAATACACATATGGATAAAAATTACCTTTTTATGTGTAATATATATATGTTTTACGATATCTGTTGTGGCTTGTCACGGTACGAATCAGCGTCTTGCTTCCGGGTCTGAAGCACTTACGTCCTACTGCATGACGGGAGTTGTCTGTTCGCCCAGAGACATAAGTCGCATTGTTTTCGCACATCCTTCGCAGAATAGTCAAGCGGCATAATGCAGCGGCTCAACTAATTTACAAAGGGTCGTCGTACCATATCACTGAAAATCCTTAATTCCAAACAGGCCGTCGTGACGATAAATTCGCAGAATTCTATCGACGTTCTGCTCGTTATCGACACGAAGCGCTGCTACTCTGTACGTAATATGTTTTGCATGTAAATTGTACTTCGTTTCGAAATTATGGGATAACATGTTTATTTACAGTGAGACATGAGACCAATTAGCTTGAACACTAAATAATCGCGTAATTCCGTTTATTCAGCTACGTATTGTCGACAAAGTCTCAAGCAATGACCAATGGAAGTAACTGTATAACTCTTGAGAGAAAAATTCTAGGCTGGTCAATATACGTTTTTAGTCACCACTTTTAGCGTTTGCTGACAGCATGTGGAGCTGTGTAAAAGTCCACTTGCAATTAAGTGTCTTTATAATTATTGCGATAGCGTGTCCTCTGAAGTGATTCAGTCTTACTTTGAAGTAGCTAAATCTGGGTTGTAATATTGAATAATGAATCCTGGTTTCATACATTCCAGAAGACAGTCTTCCGTTGGTAGATGTAGAGATGCCCTTTTGACATAATTGTATTTTCAGAATTCCTCGCCAGCAAACTTTCACAGATTCAGATCGAAAGAAGCAATACGATTAAGGTCTAACTTGCTGACTTCGATTTTGCATTCAGTACCAAACTAAGTAGATAATAGTTGCTGCATTGATCCAATTACCGTCACAAGTCTTCATTCTCACTTCAAGGATCTTTCTTATTTCTCTCATGTAAAAGTAATCCGTCGTCATCAACCTGAGCGCCTGGTCCCATTTGCCCCTGATGGAAATTACCTCTCACTGCTTCCTGGCAGAAGTTATTTCTCACTGGCTCCAGGTAAAAGTTATTTCTCACTGGCTCCAGGTAAAAGTTATTTCTCACTGGCTCCAGGTAAAAGTTATTTTTCATTGCTTCCAGTTGGAAGTTATTTCTCACTGGCTCCAGATAAAAGTTATTTCTCACTGGCT